GAGCTGCCACTGGATTCTGCAGTGGGGCCACCTGTCCTTGTCCTCACCACATACTGTTGATAGTCTGGACCATGATGCCAGACTTGAAATAGGCAGTCGGCGTCACTTGTGCCGAATCTAATTTGCAACCTTTTAAGTTTAATGGACTCCATATTAAGAATGTCTAAACCAGTAGACTCTCGGTACCCAGACATTTTATCTGCTTGCCATTCTCTTTCCTTTCTTTCTTCTTGTGGTAACAAACACCTTCTCCTTTTCCATGGGAACCTATTCCATGTGATTCTGGTGGGATCTGCCCTCTCTCATGGGAGGAGTGAACAAGCTCTGGCCAAAGAGATCTGATTATTGTCTACCACTTACTTCTGGCCATGCTGACTCAGGCAATCCAAACCGGGCCAGTCAAGATCTCTCCTTAGTACTGTTGCTAGAACTATGGCAAAAGAGGCACTCTCTTCGTGGAGATCCACAGCTGTGAGAACACTAGAAACCCAGTGCTGACGGCTACCATTACCACCATGGTGTCGGAGAGGGTGCCTGAGAATGAAGCTGACAGAATTAAGCAAAGCCCAGAGAGAGAGTGAAAGACAATGGTCTGATGATATCTTTTGAGCTCCTGGATATATTAGCATGGATATCTTAGTCATGTAGGTCAAGAAACTTATTTAAGTTGGATTTCTTTTGCTTGCAACCAATATCATTCTAACTATTAATAAGAAATCTGATCTAAAGAAAAATAAAGCCCGAAAGGAAATTCCCCTTCATGGATAGTCCTTATGGAATTCTGGGTTCTTCTCTCACAATGATCTTAACTAAATTAAAATTTTTTTCTTCCTATGACATTCCTGCAGAAACATCACCCCTGTATCACCCTCTGCACCAGCAGTTCATCTTACCAGTGCTGCCGCCCATCAGACACTCTCTCTTATAATAAATATTAAAGTTCCCAACTGAAAGAAGGGAGACCCAGAAGTAGACCACAGTAGCCCAGCTTATAGTTTGCTACCATCAAACAAATACTTGCGGTCAAGAGTCATGAGCCTCTCAAACTGCCCCCAAGACGTACTGAACACTCCAGTATGACAAAGGACCTAGAGCAGCGGGGCTCAGAACAGAAGGAGAGGTGCGTGGAGCAAGGGAAGAGGACCACGCAGGATGGATGTAAATCCTGTGTATTGAAAAGCTGCTCCACAGACTGAGTCACAGTGTAGAATGGAGAGAAACAATATTCACACAGCACTATTGGCAAGTTGCTTCCTATTCTTTAGTAAGTAGCTTTCAACTCAAGTGCCAAATCTAGTCCACAACTAAAATGTCACGCTCAGCATCAAGGAAGCAGTAGTTAAAAAAAAAAAAGACAAATAAAAAAAATAAAGAAAAAACAAAACAAACAAAAAGACAGACAGCAGTGGTAGTCTGTGAAGTCCATCATGAGGTAGGCAAGAGAAGGGGGAATATGAATATATGTATTTGTTATTCCAGCTGAAACCATTAAACTTTATCCCTGAATTAAGCAAAGCCAACAGAGAAATGCACATCTGGACCGGAAGGGCTTTTCTTGGACTGCACTGGGATGTTACATCATTCACCTACACTCAGGGTGGCCGTCATTACTCTACTCGCAGTAGGGGTGCTGTTCGCCACCCCGTGTGGCACTCTCTGGATGAGCACTCTAGAGGAATGTCTCTACTGTTGACCATGATTAACCTTGCTGCTTCTGAGTAACCAGTGTGCTTTTATCTCCTGGCCACTGTGAGTTGTTACCGGATCACAATTTCCCTCTGGTACTGACTGCTCAGAAGCTCAGAGGCGAGACTGTGGGGCCTGCTAGCGAACACACAGGCTCTCACCGATGCGCTGGGCTTGCCTTATCTCTGTCTTCACCCTTCTTTTCCTTCCCCACAAATTTTCTCCCTTGCTTATTTTTCTGAATCTCATTATATGTACATTTAAAAGCTACTTCAAAAATCTCTGAGAGAAGACAAGCACACACACTAGGTCAACAGCAGCCAAATAATGCAAAATAATAAACTGGCTGGTGAGTGGAGGACAATTTTACAAATGCTGCCTGCTGTGGCAGCCAGAGGGTGGTAGCCTTAGAACAGGAATAGCCTTGGGCCGAACTGTCAAGTCAGCAAGTATCTCGATCCTCCCTCCTCCTCACCTCCCCTGCACCCACATCCTTCCTAGGCCAGCCTCCTGCCCCCTGGTTCAACCCTGAGCACCCACACCTACTGCCTCTTTAGTACCAATGGTTGTTCTCCCTTCTTGACTCCTTCCCCTCTGTAGGACCTTGTGTTCATACTTGATTACACGTTGTCAATGATCAATAATAGCTTTACATCTTTCCTTCCTTAAAGAGAGGCACATTTTAACTAGGTATTTTGAAGAGGAAAAAAAAGATCACCAGAATAATTCACTAATGGTGGAATATATTAATATTATAAAAATGGTGCACATGCAATTGAACAGGGGCATCGTCCCATAAATCTCAAATAATTCTATGTAAAACAGCACATCCCGGTACACAGTCAGCACCCAAAAAACAGTAGACACTAATTTTTATTATTGTTGCTTTTATTGTTAATTCCACCTCTACCACCACTCCACTCACTGCCTAGTCCTCTACCATCACCACATAGGTAACTACTCTTTTTAGAACAGTGGCTAGCTGGATAATCAATTAATGCATTTTCATTATATTTTATGGTTTATAAAGCACTTTTACATACATTATCCTTTCTGAGCTTCCCAGCAATCCATGAGTTAAATATTATTCATTCCCATGTTACAGATGGGAAAATTAAAGCTCAGGAAGACTGAGTTTGTAAGGTCCCAGAGCTGTGCTCAGAGCCAGGCTCAAACCCAGGTCTTGTATAAATTTCTTGTTCTCGCCATAACAAGTGGTTGCCAACTGTGGAGTGATCGCAGAATCATCCGAGTGCTTTAAGATTCCTGGGGTCCACCCCAGACCTAATGAATGTGGATGGCCCAGTGGAAGGGACTGTGTGAGTTTGTATTTAAGAGGTGCTTCATCTGATTCTGGGCAGCTGCTGGCGGGTGAGCATGCCCAGTGCCTAAGCTGCTTCTTGGTTGACTAAGTGCCTGCTGTACTCTCAGCCCTGTGCTGCCTACTACGAGGAAGGCGTATGTAGCCTTCGGCTCTCAAAGAGCTAACAAAGCAACTAAGGAAGTCAGACCAGCCAAGGTGAAAGAAGAGTGAGCCAAAGACTCACTCTGCTTGGCTCTGAAGGTGGTCAGAGTGGGTGAGATCACAGATGGCAGGGGTAGGCAGGAAGGCCAAGTCACAGAGAAGGGAAAATTCCACTGGGCCTTGCAAAATGGGCAGGATTTCCAGGTAGAGAAGGGGTAAGCAGAAAGATACCCTCAAGAGGGATGCTGAATAGATTGGCAAAAATAAAAGGAAGAGTGGGAGTTGAGCAAGAGAGGATGAGGCCAGCTAATGAGTGGAGAAGCCAGAGCGAGGAGCCCAGGCTGGTGTGGTGGGTGGCACAGAGGCAGGCATGGAGGGTTTTGAGCAGAGGAGCAACTTTCTGAAAGATGAACTGAAGGATGACTAATGTGGCGGTGCTGTGGAGAATGAAGGGAGGTTTGGAGGGGGAAAAACCTGGTATTGGCAAGACCACCTAGGAACCTGCTGAACAGATTGAGATGCCAGACGGTAGGGGAAAGACTAGGATTCTAAGGTGCTGACAGTCAGGATGGGGCAAGAGGATGCGCCACAGGTGGGAGTCTGTTCTGAATCTGCTTACTCTCCATATTCTTCTCATCCCAGCATAGCTGTTTTTATGTGACCCATAAATGCTATGGTAGATTGTGAAAAATGGCTACAATTCTTCCCCTTCCTGTATCCATGCTCCTTGCAATATGATTCTGCAACTCCTCTCAGCAAGAGGTAGCATCTCTATCTATACTTCTTGAATCCAGGCTACCCATAGAGCTTGCTTTAACTAACAGAACAAAGTGGAGGCAACGTTCTGTGAATCGAGTTCTGAGCCTCGGCTTCAAGATGCTTCTGCTCTCTCTTGGTACGCCAGCCTAGTCACCATGTGAACAAACTCAGGGCAATCTGCAGGATGATGAGACACATGGCTTAGTCCCTGTTATCACTTCACCCGACAGCCAGGTGACCCCCAGAAACACAGCCTAGTTGACCTGGACCTGCGACTGCCTGTGGAAACATCAACAGTCCCAGCTAAAACCAGAAGAATCATGCAGCTGAGCCCAGCTCAAATCGCTAACCCACAGAACTGTGAGATAGATAAATGATGGTTATTTTGAGCCCATAAATATTGGCACAAAGTAGTGGCAATACATTTTGGGGTGGTTTGTCATGCAGCAAAAGCTAACTAATAACACACTGCAAATAACTGTATAGCCACAATATCAGAGAGTGATGCCACCTGAAGCCATAGACGCTTTTTCCCTTAAGAAGTATATTACCCTTCTAGGTCTTAAGTAATTTTTTTTTTTTTTTTTTACCACTGCAGAACTGTTAACTCACAACAACCACATCTAGGAGAGGTGGGAAATGAGAGAAAAAAATACAGCAATAAGAAAGAGTAGAGCCCCAATATGTTGCAGCTGTGAGCCAATTTTCATTACAACACACTGCAAGGGACTGTCTGAATTCCTTGGCCGAAGTAACACTCTGTTGTTTTGGATACTGCTGAAACAAGCAGGCCATCGACAGGGGCCTGGAAATAGTTTCATTACCAAAAAAAAAGGCTTTTATTTTAATAGTATTTGGCATGTAATCATGGATCTTTTTCCTGCCCATGGTCTTAGCAAAAGAACATGGGTTACTCTGTTTTTTTTAAGGCATGGAAACATCATAAATTATTTTGAAGACCAAAAAAAGTGCAAAGAAACAGACATCTAATCATAGTACTGGTAGGGATGCATCTAACTTAGAAGTGTGAACAACATTTCAAAAATAATGTCAAACAGTCACTTTGTTTAAAAAATAAAGAAGAACTTACCAGTAAGACTGTGTGGTCCAATGTTTTCAGGTTTTAAGTGATGGAGTGAATCTGAAATAGAATTAAACAAACATTCCATAAGTAAATCACACTTGGAAAGAGTGTGCTTTCGATCCCAAGTGACTGCCATAATGTCGAGCATTTATTCTTTTGGTTAAAGATTAACAAAGCTTTTTCTGGCTCCTGATGGAATAGGGAGCATTTTTCGCCTACATATTTCAACTTCCTGAATAGAGAGCATTCTCTCATCTACTTTGGGGAGTGCCGAAAGTCTGAGGCCAGTATAACTATAAATGGCAGTGTTTCTGTCCAAACACCTCCTAGTCAGGGGAAGTCTCTCTAGTTCTTGCTCTTGCCTTGGTCCCTCAAACCTCTTCTTCTAGGACCAAACCATGGTTTCCTCTAAGGAACCAATTAAAAAGCTAGTGGTATAGCATAACTTGAAGGGCAGTAGGATGGGCATATAGGGCTTTCTAATAGAGGCCACCAGATCATGTAAATAGCCATACATTTTTGTCTTATTGATAATGGTGAGCCTAAAGTAGTGCTGTTCAATAGAAATACAATGCAAGCCATATACATAATATTAAATGTTCTATATGGGACCAAAAAAGAGCCTGAACAGCCAAAGCAATCTTGAGCAAAAAGAATAAAGCTAGAGGCATCGTACTACCTGACTTCAAATTATGATACAAGGCTACAGTAACCAAAATAGGATGGTGCTGGTATAAAAACAGACATATAGATCAATGGAACAGAATAGAGAACCCAGAAATAAAGCCACATACAGCCAACTGATCTTTGACAAAAAGTTGACAAGAACATACACTGGGGAAGGGACATCCTTTTGAATTAATGGTTCTAGGAAAATTGGACTGCCATAGGCAGAAGAATAAAACTGGACCCCTATCTCTTACCATACACAAAAAATCAACAAGATAAATTAAAGATTTCAATGTCAGACCTGAACCTATTAAACTATTAGAAGAAAACCTGTGGGAAACTTTTCTGGACATTGGTCTAGGCAAAGAATTCATAACGAAGACCTCAAAAGCACAGGCAACAAAACCAAAAATAAACAAATGGGTCTTAACCAAACTACAAAGCTTTTGCACAGTAAAAGAAATAATCAACAGAGTGAACAACCTGCAGAATGGGAGACAATATTTGCAAACTATACATCTGACAAGGGACTAAAATCCAGAATTTACAAGAAACTCAAACAACTCAATAACAACAACGACAAAAAGCAATTAAAACCCCATTAAAAAGTGGGTTAAGAAAATGAACATTTTTCAAAAGAAGACTAAAAATTGTGCAAGAAACATATGAAAAATGTTCAAGCTCACTAATCTTCAGAGAAATGCAAATTAAACCACAACCAGGTATCATCTTACACCAATCAGAATGGCTATGACTAAAAAGAAAAAAGACAGATGTTGGTGAGGATACAGAGAAAAAGGAATTCTTATACACCATTGGTGGGAACGTAAATTAGTACAACTTCTATGGAAAACAGTATGGTGATTTCTCAAAGAACTAAAAATAGAACTACCATATGATCCAGCAATCCTACTTCTGGGTATCTATCCAAAGGAAAAGAAATCAATAAAAATGATACCTGCACTTATATATTTATTGAAGTATTATTCACAATAGCAAAGATATGGAATCAACCTAAATGTCCATCAACAGATGAATGGATAAAGAAAATATGGTATAGATATACAAGGGAATACTATTCAGCCACAAAAAAGAATGAAATAATGTTTTTTTGCAGCAACATGACTGGAGCTGAAGGCTACTATCTTAAGTGAAACAACTCAGACACAGAAAGACAAATACTGCATGTCCTCACTTATAAGCAGACACTAAATAATGTGTACACATAGAAACAGAGTGTGGAATGATGGATACTGGAAACTTAGAGAGGTGGGGGGGCTTGGAGGATGGTGGATGAGGGGAGGTTGCTTGGTGGGTACCATGACTGTTGCTTCAGTGATATACGTACTGAAGGCCCTGACTTCACTACGATGCAATATATCAATATAGCAAAATTGCACTTATATTACATGAATATATACAAATAAAAAATAGGCCGGGTGCAGTGGCTCACGCCTGTAATCCTAGCACTCTGGGAGACCGAGGCGGGCAGATCGCTCAAGGTCAGGAGTTCAAAACCAGCCTGAGCAAGAGCGAGACCCCGTCTCTACTAAAAAAACAGAAAGAAATTAATTGGCCAACTAAAAATATATAGAAAAAATTAGCCAGGCATGGTGGCGCGTGCCTGTAGTCCCAGCTACCCAGGAGGCTGAGGCAAGAGGATGGCTTGAGCCCAGGAGTTGGAGGTTGCTGTGAGCTAGGCACTCTAGCCTGGGCAACAGAGTGACACTCTGTCTCAAAAAAACAAAATTAAAAAATAAATGGGAAAAAATTTTTTAAACAATTAAAAAATTCTATGTTCTAGTAGCCACATTTAAAAAACAAAAGAGGCCGGGCGCTGTGGCTCACGCCTGTAATCCTAGCTCTTGGGAGGCCGAGGCGGGCGGATTGCTCAAGGTCAGGAGTTCAAAACCAGCCTGAGCAAGAGCGAGACCCCGTCTCTACTATTAATAGAAAGAAATTAATTGGCCAACTGATATATATATATATAAAATTAGCCGGGCATAGTGGCGCATGCCTGTAGTCCCAGCTACTCGGGAGGCTGAGGCAGGAGGATCGCTTGAGCCCAGGAGTTTGAGGTTGCTGTGAGCTAGGCTGACGCCACGGCACTCACTCTAGCCTGGACAACAAAGCGAGACTCTGTCTCAAAAAAAAAAAAAGAAAAAAAAAAAAATAATAAAAAACAAAAGAAACAGATAAAATTAATGTTAATAATATATTTAATCTAACCTAATTTATGCAGAATATTATTTTAACATATAATAAATATAAAAATTATTAATGAGATATTTTACTTTTTTTTCATACTAAAGCTTCCAGATTCAGGGCATCTCAGCTCGAGCTAGCTGCATTTCAAGTGGTCAAAAGCCCCATGTGGCTAGTGGCTACCATACTAGACAGCACAGGTCTAGGGAATCTATTCTTAGCCTTCAGGTACTGGCAAGGATCCAAGGCATATGGAGATTTTATTTACCTATTTTTCTTCTCCCAGTAATCCATTATTACCCTATTTCATGATGTCATTTAAATAGAAATCATAACATGATGACAGCGAGTACTTCTATAGCACTTACTATGTGCCAGGAACTGTTCTAGGCATGTCCCTACGTTACCTCAATGGATCCTCACGATGACTCTATGAGGTAAGTATATCACTATTCTCATTTTGTGATGAGGCAACTGAGGCACAGAGAGGTCGCATCGCTTTCCTGAGGCTGTAAGACAGTGACAGAGCTGGGATTCGAATCCATCCAAGCCATCTGCCTCTAGAGCCCATGCTCTTAGCCACTATCCTCTCAATTAAATTTGAACAGCTCAAAATAAGATAATTACTTTCAGTTTTAATTATAGCCATCAAATGACCCAAGTCTGCTCTCAAGATAACATGGTTAGATAATAACAGTGATGGCAGGTGGAAGAGTTATTGGAGGCACTAGCAAACTAAATTAACAACAATTTGAGATGGGAGCGCAAAACCTGCAAGCAGGCCTGGGTGGGAAAGACTGCCCTGGGTCTGAGGGCCTGCCTGGATGGCGGACGTGGGGAGGAGGGGGAGGTTAGTGCAGGATCGATGGAAAAATCTTGTCTTCATGGTTTTTCCGAGGGAAGGGCCTACGGCTTTCATCACACTCTCAGAAGGGTCTGTAAGATAGATATCCCTTTATCTTTCTCAGCAGGGGTAGGGAGTTAGAGACAAAGAAATCATGGAGAAAAGAATTAAGAAAACAGATACTTTTACTTTATTGATCCAGAGGCTCCAAAGAAATCACACCCAGTAAGCAAAATCAGGTCCACACACTTGAGCTTCCTGCTTAAATCACAGGGAAGGAGGCTGGGCAGCGACACTTTGGGCTGAGGCCACTGCGGGGCGCTGCAACCCAGTCTCCCATGATGAGCTCTGAACCTGCTGAAAATCCTTCCCTGGCTTCCTCTAGGCTTTAGGATCCAGTCCAAGCTCCTCAGCCCAGTCCCCACTCCGGGCACTCTCCCTCAGGCATCTCCCTAGCAGGTCCCGAGATTCCCCTCCTCTCACACTTCCCTGTGCCTTTGTAGATCCTGTTCTTTCTGCCACACATGTTCTTTCCCTGTAGCCTCAGCCTGCCTTCATGTCTCCGTGCAAAAGTCGCTACCTCTGGGAAGCTTTTGTGAATTCCCTGGAATGGCTTTGCAACCACGCCTCTGCAGTAGCAAAGTGGTATTCACTCAATTCACTCCACAGTTATGCACTACTATGGTCATGTGTCTCTTAATGCTGGGGATACATTCTGAGAAATGTTTCGTTAGGCAATTTCATCCTTGTGTGAACATCATAGAGTTCACTTACACAAACCTGGATGGTGCAGCCTACTGAACACCTGGGCTATATGGTATAGCCTATTGCTCCTAGGCTACAAACCTGGATAGCATGTTACTATATTGAATACTGCAGGCAATTGTAACACAATGGTAAGTATTTGTGTATGTAAACATATCCAAACGTAGAAAACGTACAGTAAGAATATGGTATTATAATCTTCTGGGACCACTGTTGTATATGTGCTCCATCGTTGACTGAAACATTGTTATACGGGGCATGACTATATTACTGGTAATACTAAAAGCTGGATTTTATGGAGCTATGTGCCAGGCACTGTTCAAGTGCTTTGCAAAATCCTTTTAGTAATCCTATAAGGTGGGTTATTTTTTATCCCATTTAGCAGGTGAGCAAACTGAGGCATAGAGGTTAAGTCAGTAGCCTAAGGTCACACGGCTTATAAGTGACAGAGCCAGATGTGAACCCAGACAACCAGGTTCCAGAGCCTGCATGCTTAACAGCTTACTCCACGCTTGCCTCCAGCTAGGGTCCACTGCCCTCTACTCTCACTGCCTTCGTTCTTCCCTTTGTTATC